AATTGTTTATCAGTTTGACTTGGGGTAATTGGAGCAAATAAAATGTTCTTAATGAATATAGGGAAATATATCACTAAATTGAATAAAATGATTATCACAGTTTTTCTAGCTAGCATCAGCCAACATTTTCAACTTTCAAGTATGTGGGAAAACAAAAAATAAAAACAACTGAGAAAATAGCAATCCTGTAGGGCACAGTACATCATTTACTGTAATTGCCATGTTATCTGCAGGTATTTCATAGACCACAAAGGAAACATGAAGCCTATTAATTAACAAGTATCAGTTTCAGTAAATGTGCTCATAGCACTGCATCACTGACAACTGCAAGTTTTTTTTTTTTTTGTATGAGGGATTGAACTCATGGCCTAGTGCTCTCCAGGCAGCTTCTTTTATCACTGACCTCAATCCCCAGAACCAACAACTTTAGATACTAAATATGACTATTAACAATGTTTAATTTGCCATTGACATAGTTATAAATTTTGTAAACTTACATTTTCACACATGAAATGATTTTCTTGCCTTGCAGTTTAAATTACTTTTTTTTATAGGTACCAGGGATCAAAGTTACAACCTAGCACTTTCCAGGCAGACATTTCTGCCTGCTGAGCTTAAAGCCCTGGCCTGTATTAATGAATATTTTAAATGTATAAACATCACTTTATCCATTCAAATACTATTGTGATTTTAGCAAAGGATGTCAATGTAGACAGAAATCGATATACAATCAGAGGGAAACTGGAACCTTCAAGAGTCAATGCAGAAAACTAAATACAACAATCACTGCAACAGGCACAGCTGAAGAAAGCCAGAACTGAAGATGAAGATGCAGTGACCAGGTCTACATGCTCCTGAAGAGAAAAGCAACAGCTTGAAATGTACTACAGTTACCACCACCTCCTCCAGGAAGTCCTGCTAGGCATCAATTACCATAATCAATGACCAGAACAACTGGACTATTGTTCCCACAAAATGCCTTGGTTCTTCCCACATACCTTTTCTGGCTGACTTGTTCTCCTCATGAGTAATATTAGTTAAGCAGCTATAAGTTTATAGGTTGAATGTAGTCTGAGACACACACTGTACCCACATTGTGGCTTTCCTGTATAAATGACCCCTGACAATAGGTCTGTGGCCAAAATACTGAAGACCACTCCTGAAAATTCAAGGCTATTCTTCTCTCTTTTTTTCTAAGAAAATTTTTGAACTTCTTTTGGTTTGTGACTTCATTTCTCAATGTTGTGAGCCATTAAACTAGGTTCATTTGACAGCAAACAGGGCAGGATTATATTTTTCTTATTTCAATTTAATTATGAAATTCTGCTAAAGGCCATGTTCCAAAGCCTGGATTTCAAGCTGCTTGTTTGCCATGAATTTAACATTTCCATGCGCTTTTAAAAGTCCTCATTCTAGTGAACTGCAAATGTATTGGAGGAAGGAGGTCATTGTTGTGCTGTATGTAGCACAGTAGGTGCCATTCCTAAATCTGTTTTTGTCACTGCCTCCTGGATGCCACTACATAGCCTTCCTTCTTCTCCAGCATCATTCAATAAATCCCATTTTGCATAAGTCAACTTTCACTCAGCTCTATAATATTTTTAATAGTCTTTCTGTCACCTTGGTTGTTTATGTTTTTCATTTTAGTTTTTTGATTTAAAGACATAGTCTCACAGGAGTTCTGGCCAGCCTACTCACTATGTAGGTTAGCCTGTCTTTGAATACATGGCCATTCTCCTGTTTCAGTCTCTTCATCACTAGGGAAAAGAGGTGGGCATTATAACACATGGCAGTTGTCTTTTTTCTCCTCTCCTTTTCACTATTATTCTTTCATTTCAGTGGCAATGTCATTTAATCCTGTTGTTTGCTTGTGTCAGTAAAGGTTTCTGCAGCTTGAGTTGAGTTTGTGAACAACAATATAGGAAGACAAGCAAACCAATTGGGAAATGTGGAATTTCATTAGCTGGTCTCAGGACGAGTTGTATAAAAAAACCCCATCCCCATTTCAGGATCTAAAGAAGAGGCTTTGAACTGGAAAGTTACAGATACTTTAAAAGATAGAATCACAAAAAGATCCTGCTGGAAATCATTTAGCTAGCATCTTATAATAATTTTTGGATGACAACTGTATTCTGCTTCTTTTGTTGAGCAGGTTAATTTTTTTCTTTGGGTACAGCTCATTTTGCTTTTCTCCTGGGTCTTCTACCCTGAGTGACTTTTCCATTTTTCTGGGTGAAATACAGGGCACTAGTTAAATGCAAAGCTCAAGATGGCATCTATTATGCCAATCTACAACACAGCTAAGTTACAAACCTCAATATTTTCTAGGGTAAAACCACACATATCTGTAATCCCAGGACTCAAGAGGCTGATGCAGGATGGCTGCTTTGAGCTTAGGGCAATTCTGCACTCCATAAAGTGTTCAAATCTAGCTGATGTACGTAGAGAAAACCTGTCTTAATAAAACAAACTAAACTAAACAAATAAAACCCACATAACAGCTGAATGGAGACTGATTTCTTAATATCTTAATTCCAAATCTTGGGGATTAATTGCTTGTACATACACATATTTTGAGACAGCAAATTTGATGCCATAATGAAACTCAAAGCTAATGTAACAGCCAAATATGAGCACTGATTCTTTTGCTGAGTCACTGCAAGAGTCCCTGTGTGCTGGGTTTGGTGGCTCAAGCCTGTAATCCCAGCACTCAGGAGGCTGAGGTGGGAGGATCCTTGCGAGTTTGAGACCAGCCTGGGCTGCAAAGTGAGCTCAAGGCCAGCCTGAACTGCATAGTGAGACCCCTTCTCAAAAAAAGACAAAAAAAAAAAAAAAAAGAGTCGCTGTGCATTGTCTATAATGCAGAGCTCATAGTGAGAGCCTGCAGTACCAGCATCCTTAAAGCACAGAGGCAGACAAATATCTCATCAATCACTTTGATGTAAGACCTATGATATCTCTTCAAATCTCAATTAGGCCACTGAGTCCTTTGTTCTTAATATACTTAAGCAGCATTTTGATATTTGAATTTGGTTTCACAGAACAAAACATAAATAACATCAAATATGGTACATAAATAATAACTCAAATGTTCATGGAAAACGGTTGTATGTAAAAAACGTATAAACAATGAAACCAGGTGCAAGCTTCAAATTATAGCTCAGTGTCAATAAGTGATCACTTTCCATTCAGATATAAGAAATATATCTTGGGAGGCTGATGCAGGAGAACTGTCTTGAGTTTGGGGCTAGCATAAGTTACAGAGCTGTCTGAAATAGAGAAACCCTCACTGAGATACCGCACAGAAAATGTGAAACTTGAAAAGTGACTGCATAAGACACCTCTGGTTTGCTTTAAAAAGTTATAGCCATACAATATAGAAAAATTCCACAATATTCAACATTTTCTGAGGAACAAGGATGATACCATCTAAAACATACAGAAAACAGTTTCAGAGCTGGGTATTTAGCTAGCAGCATGAAAACCTAACTTGCAAGCTTGAGATCATGAGTTCGATCCTTGGTACAAAAAAAATTCAAATTTCACCTTCATGATACTGGGTCATAATTCAAGATAATCAAACCTAGATCTCAAGTGAACAACGCAGAATTCATGGGTTGACAGGGATGTGGAATACTGATTGTTACCAGAGCTTGTGCTATTCACCTCAAGGAAGGTATCATAATTCAACTTTAACTTCATGCTTACCCTAAGAACTACCTGACTTTCAGTGAAGACCCTCTCTGTTGTATGTACTGCTATTTGCACACAATGTCCTGCCCCTCACTTCCACATCCTTTCCATGCTCATGTGATCCACCCTAAGCAGAAGAGCCTTCATGCCTTAACTACTGATATCCCTGCACAATTTCAATTTAGGGCATCTCTTTACACGAATTAGTAAAGTCCATTACAGAGCATTTCCATATTTAAACAATGTATATGATCAACCAACCTATTAAATCAGCTCTTAATTCAGAGATGACACCCATATTCCTTTCAATTCAGAAGGAAATCACGTGTATATGTTCATGCAAATGACTAAATTTAGGCATTTTTCAAAGAGAATTTAACAGGCAGCCCTTTCTGGAATTTGTCTTAGCAAGCACACTTTACCCTGCCCTTGATGACACTTTTATATCTGCTTCATTTTTCTCAAAATTCAAACCTCTATGGCTGTTCTCACAAACATAGTCTATGAGCACATGTGTCACATAAAGAATGCTCAGAAATTCTTTGCACTGTTATTTATCATACACAGGAGTTCACCAGGTGTTTGGAAAGCCTTCCTCCACTGAAGTATATCAGTATACATCTCTGAATTCTCATAATCTTTGCCAACACCTGTCATGGGGTTGGAAATGTGAGAACATAGTATAAATTTAGGTGATCACAAAATACATAAATGCATAACTTTAAGGAGAGCAGTTGTGGCTACGAGGTCCTGCAGCACAGACAATTATAAACTTCTGGCTTTCAGATCTGTGGCTGACAGGAATAAGAGCAGAGACCTGGCTTATTACAGCTGCACCCAGCTTGAAACCACATCGGAATCAGGGTCTCCTCATGCCCTGTCCTGGGCCCAGACTGTTGGAGGAGCAAGGGCAGCAGGCGATTTCAAAAATGGCCTTGTGGCCTGGTTGTATCACAGTGGTGACAGCGTTCTAGGGACCCAGAACTGTCCTGGCCCCAGCGAGAAGTAAAAGGGATAGAGGATGACTCACTGCTAGCACTCATGGACCTCAGGGTCTGAGGCTAAGCACACAGGTTCTAGACAGCACAGCTGCTTCTCACCACTTGTTTCTTTTTTTTTTTCATTCTTTTTTTTTTTTTTTTTTTGGTCTTTTTCCTTTTTATTGGTACCGGGGATCGAACTCATGACTGCCTGTTTTTATGGCAGGCACTTATGCAGCTGAGCTAAACCCCAGCCCCTTCAAACCACTTCTAACTGGTCCCAACCTGATTCCACCCCATTTATCTGCTCCTATCCCATAACATCACCATTGCGTAGTTTGGAGGTCTCCCAGGTTCTTTCTAAGCAGTCCACAGTGAATAGAAGCAAAAAATAGTGGTCTAGCAAACATCTAACGTTCCCTTTTTTGCCCTGGCTTTGCAATTGACGCCATGACACCGGAAGAGACCGCCTACCTTGGCCCGCCTGATTGGACAGTTTTTACAGCCAGCCTCTTCATCACTGATTGGCTCCTGCTCTCCTGCCTGCCTTCCGCACCAAGAATAATTACAGAAAAAAAAACCCACCCTGGAACTGTGGATACCCAATGAAAGATGGTGGAGGCCTCTGGAGCTGGCTGTCTTCTGGAATGTTGACCTCAGCTCGTCTGATGGGTATTTGCACTGAAAGTCTTTGCCTCAGTCCTTGTTTTTTCTCCCAAACGCATTTTATTTGAAAGTTAAAAAGTAAAAAAGTGGTCCAGGGATTTAGCTTAATCGCCTGCCTGGCAAGCTAGAGGTCCTGCATTCCATCCAAGATCTGGCTACCACAAACTGTGCTGCTATAAACGTGGGTGCACATATATCATTGTGGTATGATGATTTTTATTCTTTTGAGTAGATACCCAGAAGGAGAATAGCTGAGTTGAGTGGGACCTGTAGACCTAGTCTGTGTGGAATCTCCACACTGATTTCCACAGTGGTTGCCTTACCACTAACAATGGAGAAGGATTCCTTTTTCCCCCACATCCTCTCCAGCATTCGTTATTGCTTGATTTCTTAACAGTAGGCATTTTTTTTTCTGGGGCAGGGTGACATATCATGTTATTTAATTTGCAATTGTTTAATGTCCAGTGATGCAGAACATTTTATCACATATTTATTTGCTGTTTCTATTTTTTCATCTGAGAACTGTGTATTTCACCTCAGATGCACATTTTTGGATTGGGTCTTTAAATCTGGGAAGACTGAAATTTTTTAGTTTTCCGTGCTCTCAATAGTAATACTTTGTCTGAGGAAGAGTTGGCAAATATTTTCTCCCACATTATGGGTTGTCTTTTCACTCTGTTAGTGATTTCTCTTGCTGTTAAAAAGTTTTTCATCAGGGTGAGATTCTCACTTAATTGTCTTTGATTTTTGCTGTTCAATCCAAGTTTTCTTCATAACGTCTTTTCTCACATCAATGTCTGCCAGAGCTTTACTTACTCTATCTTGCAGCAGATTTAATGTTTCTGTTTTAATATAAGATCTTTGATCTATTCTGATCTTAGCTTAATACACGTTGAAAGATAATATTCAGAACGTATAGAGCCAGTTTTTGCAGCACCATTTATTAAAGAGGCTGCTTTTCTTCCTCTTACTTTGTTTGGCACCTTTGTCAAAGATAAGATGGTTTAGTGGTCTGGGGTTGTTTTTCCATCTTCTAATTTGTTCCTTTGATCTTTGGGTCTGGTTTTGTTTGTTTTGTTTGTTGTCAGTACCACATATTTTTTTTTTAATCACAATACCTTTATAGTATAATTTCAAGTCAGGGATTTTGATGAACCTATCTTTCCTTTGTTGCCCAGCATCACCTTTGCTACTCTAGGTCTCTTCTGGTTTCAGATGAATTTTTGAATAATTTTGTGTTATTCTTTGAGATATGCTACCGGGTTTTGATTGGGATTGCCCTGAATCTATACAATAGCTTTGGAAGTATGGTCATTTTCACTATATTGAATTTCCCTACACAAGACTATGGGATAGCTCTTCATTTTAGAATATCGTCTTCAATCTCCTTTTTGAGAGTACTGTGGTTTACAGTATAGAGGTCCTTTACATTCTTTGTTAGATTGATTCCTAAGTATTTCATTTTGTTGGATGCTATTGTAAAAGTTATTGTTTCCTTGATTTCTCTTCATGAGTTTTTTATTCTTGTTTATGAAATCTAGTGATTGTTGAGTGTTGTCTTTGTAACCAGCTATATTACTGAATTTTCTTCTTAAACTATTAGTCTTTTGGTGGAATTTTTATGGTCTTCTAAGTAGAGTATCATGTATTCTGCAAATAATGATAGTTTAACATTTTCATTTCCTATCTTTATTCTTTTTATTTCTTTCTCTTGTCTAATTGCTCCAGCTAGTTTCCAGGACTATATTGAATAAGAGTGGAGGCAGTAGAAATCCTTGTTTTGTTCCTAATTTTAGAGTGCAAGCTTTCAGTTTTTGTCCACTTAGTATGAGGTTGACTGTTGGTTTGTAATAAAAGGCTTTTATCAGATTGAGATAAAGATCATCTCTCCCGATTTTTGTAGGTTTTTTATTATGAATATGTGATGGACTTTGTCAAAATCTTTTTCTGCATCTATTGAAATGATCAAATGATTTTTGTTTTTGGATTTCTCAATACGGTGTATTATATGTACGGATTTATGTATGTTGAACCACCCTTGCGTCCCAGGGAATAATTTCACTTGATCATGTTGTACAATCTTCTCGATGATATTCTGCAGTCTGTTTGCCAGTATCTTATTGAGGATATTGCTTCAATTTTCACTAGGCAGAATGGTCTGTAATTCTCTTTCCTTTTTGGATTGTTCTCTGGTTTTGGTATCAGGGTAATGCTTGCTTCCAGGAATGAATTGAGAAGTACCATTTCCCATTCGATTTCATTAAATTTTGAGAAGTGGTGGTGTTAGGTCTTCTCTAAATTTCTTCTTTATCCCTGCCATTTCATGGCTACCCCTGTTTTCTTTCAAGGATCAGTGGACACTTTCCATAATGGGCTGCAAATATTTTCAGGATTAAGGTTCAATCCTCCAGGAATAAAAAATCCACTGGTGTCAGAAAATATTCTGAGTACAGGCCAGGACAGGACACAATAGAACAGAGAGTCGGAAGTCTGTGTTAGAGGCAGCAGACTTCATCTTAATGATTTTCACTCGTTTCTATTAATTTTCCACCTAGAAACCCAGTATGTGAAAACAAAAGGATCATAGTTACCGTGTAAAGTGAGGACATTACATTTAAATGATAGTAATGGTCTGCAACAGAGTAAGGATGAAATAAAAGCTAGCATCAGTTCTCCAAGACAAGCTTGCTACTCATTCAGACTCATATAATTTCTGAATTCTGAAAGTGATCATATTGCCAAGCATGGGGGTGACAATTATTGCTGAAATGGAACCAAATTCCTAATCCAATTAAACATTTCCTTCTGGTGAGGCAGGGACACCCAAGGACTTAACACTCTAAGTTCCCCTTGCCACATAGTTCCCTTGTCACTAATTGGCACTCAGCTCTTTGTTGTACTCTACTCAAATAAAACAGGGCACCATGATGAGAAAACGGGGCAAGACTCCAAGATGACAAATGGCGCAAGACATCTTTTTTAAAAGAAGTGCTTTTATTTTAGCTGGCCCAGCGACACAGTGCAGATGGAATTTGCAAAGCTTTGCAACTGAGTTAGAGTTTTGACTGATTTTTATAGTTCATTTATGATTAGCTCATTGATCATTAAGTACATAGTGATGAGAAACAGAAATAAGGTGGGCCTTTGTTCTCCTTTGCTTGAGGACAGAGGCATTTCACAGTGGGTGGTTAGACAATTCATAGCCCTTGGTCTGCCAATTCCAGGAATAATTGTCTCTCATAAAGGGAACAGTGGTTGACACAGCATCATTTGTCTCTAACAAGGGGAACAAAAGTTGACATAGCACACAGGTCACTAAGGTGGGGGGATGACGCATTACAGCACAGCAGAACCACGTGGTCAGTTAATTTATAACTATGTGTTTGGTGTTTGGTTACTAGGGTATTGAGCTCAGTATAGAATGACAATATTACTAATAACTATATGTTTAAATAACTATTTTTGTTAATTATCTTTTAATCAATTATTTTAATTTTTAGCATCTTAGTATAACATTACTAATCTGTTTATGTGCAAGGTCCAATTGCTAAACAAGTAAGTAAGATTAACAGAGGTCTGGAGGCTGCTATCATTAACGTTGTCAACCAGGGAGATAGAGAAAACCATCCCTCAAACCAATTCTGTTCAGTTTGTCTGGCTTGTTCTTGATCCTGTTGCTGCCCTATAAGGCTGGCCATACTTTGTCTGATAACCCCAGAATGATTGGCATACAAACAACAATTTTTTCCTAATGCCAGACAAAAGCCTCCTTCCTTTAGGAACAGGAGATCTAGACCCCGCCAGTTTTGTGAGACCATCTCAGTCAGTGAACTTAAAGAATCGTCTAATTTGGAGACAGAGTCACTAAGGGCTGCTAAATCTTGGTATATGAGTACATGTAAGTGTCTATAATTTTGGTCTTTTGACTATTAGGCTGGACACTCTTAAACCTATTGACCTTGTTATCTCAATTTTTAGTAATACAGGTAATAATGCAGGATTTTTTTGCTCTTACTGGACTCTTTAAGCCAAAGCTAGGGAACAAGTGACTCTTACCATTATCTCTAGGGTACCAATACACTTGGGGAAAGATACGGACTAATATGTAAAGCTCAGGGCACTGGGTAAACAGGTGATGCATGGAACAAGGAGTTATATTAGAAGAACAGGCAAACCAGGCTCCATTGGGAGCAACAAGGTGTTGATTAGCAGGATAGGAAAAAGTATAAATCAAAACTGAAGAGGTAGGATTACAGAGTGCAGCATTAGGGGAAGTGTGCAAGGAGTAGGAGGCAGAGTAAACACAGATTCCTGGAGCACCCTGTGCATTGTCCAGTGTGAGCCAGGGCTTAGCATCCCACCAACAAAGTTGTCGTCTGTACAGGAATTTAAAAGTTGATTTGCCATAAGCAATGTCCAGAGGCAAGAAGGGGCTAGAGATGTCACAGAAATCGCAGAGGGCAAAAAGGTCTCAGGAGCAGGAAGTCTAGTGGAGGAGAACAGAAGATTGGGTCTCAAAAGTGTGGAAAAAGTTAAAGACCCCCTTTATTTCCCTGGCAAGGAGATACAAATTTACAACCCAAATGTCTACAAAATATTTCATCTCTACAGATTGTGAACACCTTTAATCAGAGACTGGCTGTTGCTTTGGGGGACAAAGATACCAGCGAGTGGACTGTAATTTTTTTGGAATACATAGGTCCCTGTAAGTCTCTATTAGCAACCAATCAGGCAGCATGACATGCAAACCCAACAACAATTTTT